TACTTCAAGGGATTGGCATCATTCTCTCAAAAGTACAGATAAAGAGCTTGGGCAAGATGGTACATACCTGTAATCCCAGTGACTCAGGAGGTTGAGGCAGGAGGATTACAAGTTCAAGGCCAGTCTCAACATTTTGGCAAGACCCTATCTCAAAAATTTAAAAAGGGCTCAGTGGTAGAGTGCTTGCTTAGCAAGTGTAAGGCCCTGAGTTCAACTCCCAATTAAAAAAAAAAAAAAGGAAAGAAAAAATTAGCTATTTACCTTTTTTCTTTTTAAGAATACACCACAATTAATCAACAAATCAAAAGACAGGTTAAGTGGATTTACATCAACCTAACTCTGCTCCCATTGCCCATTCTTATAAAAGGTACGCAGAGCATTTTTAACTGGTTAACAAGTTAATTCAGGCACATATGCTTCTGGAAATTTCCTGGGAGAGGGGGATAGGGATGCCATCTGCAAATAGTTGAATGATTCCTTACATACTGAAATCGGTAGAATCAAATATATTAAACACAGACCTTCACAGTTTCCTTTATCTTCTGCACTATTTGATTCTGGAGGGAAGCTTCACAGAGAATGTAGTCAGGAGCAATGCAGGTTTGGCCACAATTCATGTATTTTCCCCAGGTTATGCGTCTTGAGGGAAAAAAACCTAGGTTAGCTATAAAATTCAAATTTTCATTTGTTACATACTTTGTGTCATTTGAATGTTTTCCAACCAAAATGTATTCATATATTTAGTTGGTACTCTTTTAAAAAAATAAATAAACTCATCTCTAAATTGTTTACCTGGAACTTATAAAAATACTTTTTCCTTCTGTGGTAGAATATTCTAAGTGGCAGGAAGGTTCTCAAGTCACCTCGTATGAAAGAGTACTTGAAAAGCAGTGAAGTCATTGCCTGCCTCAGGAAGGAGAAAGAGACTTCCAACACTTCTTTACCTCTAATCTCCAGTCAGAAGGCTGTCCTGGATGACAAGAGCTAGCTTCAGACTCTGCTGCTTTTGGCTGTGGCTATAGCTGCTGCTGGCAAGATGTGCAGGCAGTAAAGCAGGACACAGTCAGGATCTAAGACCACTCGCCTCTATGTGGAGCCCTCCCCGAAGAAAAACTCTTTCTATGTATGGACAGAGGCCATGACCACAACATTCGTTGACAGAGGTTCTCTTATTCTGGTGATTACGATTATATTTATGAAGCCAACTTGGAACACTGACCCACCACCACACCTCCTTCTTGGCTCCCCATCTCTGAAAGGGAAGCCACACCACCCAAAGCACAGAGGTAGTTCTATGTTTGTGCACTTCCTGGTAGCAAACCCTCAAGAAGAGAACCTGAATCCTTTTATTTTCTAGTTCCTGACTGCAAGATGCTATTCAAAGTTAAGAGAGGAGAAGTACTGGTTTCTATCAAAAAAAAAAAAAAAAAAGATCTTAGTTAAGAGATCAACAAAATACCTCTTCCACTGAAAATTTAAAAATTTCACTAGGTACACACAATATTTTGGATTATCTACTTACTGGATCACTGGCTAAGCGAACAATAAAATTTCTCACCAGATTTAACTAGAATCTTGAGAAAAGAAAGAACTTTTCCAATATTCCTAAGGACATCTACACAATATCAGAACCTATGGCTCATCATTTCTGATAGTGGCATCAAAAGACAGTTTGTGAAAGGCTTCTATTACTCTTCAGCACTTTGACCACAAAAGTTTAATGACCTGTCTTAGAACCATAAGGCACGGGGTTCAAGTGCAAAGGCTCACATTAATGTACTAGGAAAAGTCTCCATTGTGCTGGGGAAATTAGGAAACCAAAGCCAGACTCACCTGCAGACAACGTCCAGGTCACAATCTTTATCAATGTAACATGGACTCTTCCCTCCCAGTTCAAGTGTCACTGGGGTCAGATACTTGGCAGCAGCTTCCATGACAATTTTTCCAACTGCAGAGTTTCCCGTATAGAGAATGTGATCAAATCGCTGCTTCAGAAGCTCTGTGGTTTCCTCAACTCCACCATTAACAACAGCATATAGGTCCTCAAAGAAAGAGAAACATGAACTCTTACATTGCCAAATTAATCCTATTGTCTAACATCAGCAACTTCTTCAATATAAACATGTAACATTCAGTAAAACCAGGAGACTGAGACAAGTACCTGTGAGGATGGAAGAGGGACATGATCAAGGACAAATGGAAGAAAAGACATAGTGTCTGCTGATACATGGGAACCTTTAAAACCTATATGAAACAAACATGAAAAGAACCCCCTTTTTTTTTTCCTATGTAAGCTTGCAATGGAGGCACAAACAAGAGCAAATGGCTGAATCTGACCAGGGAAATGCATGAGAGAAAAGAAGGGTGTTATATAGAAGCTGAGGACGTAGGTGAGAAAGTGGCTACTATCAATGACCACATGACAGGTCCAAGGTGCATGGCTTAATCTATTTGTAGAATAGGACTTAGTCCAAGAAAGAAGCCAAGTTCATGTCTGCTGAATGAATAGTATATATAACATGGGACTGAGAATGCTTACTTTTGAAGTATATTCAGACAGATTCTGGGTTCTGCTACTCGCTAACATGTGTGACCTTAGGCAAGCTACTGAACATCTCTGAGCCTCAGTCTTCTTATCTGTTAGTGGGAGAATTCACATAGTTTCTGTGGACTGAACCTTTAGATGCACTGTGCATCTATTATTAATAGCTACTCTAAAAGAGAGACTACTTTGGACAATAACAGCATGAAAAATAATGACTGAGAACAAATGGCAAAGAAGGAAGACAGAGGGAGATGTTGAAAAGATTCTGAGTTCTGAGTATGAAGCAAAAGCTGGCTTGTGGACCTCAAGTCTCCATTTGATTTCCTTCTCCTTAAAAGGCTAATTAGTTCTCATTCATTTCATGGTTTAACTGCACAACACGTTTCAAGTTTTAACTTTTCTGTGGCTTCATGTCCACAGCATATGTAATGGACTGCCTAATAAGCTAACTGAAGCAACTAAAGCCTTATTTCCCTCCCTGCCTGGACAGTCAACTACTAATGAGTTTACCCCTGGTGAGGGACAAAGCAGGACCTTAATCTTCTATCTTTTGGCTCCATGTCCTACTCAATCCTTGACATCTCATTATCTTCCATTTCATCCTTCTGGATTGGATAACCACAGCTATTAGAACAAAATTGTTCTGTGGGCTGTCATGACAGTGATAAGCTAACAAAGAGAACAATGTTATTCCAAGAGCCAGAGTTGGCCTCAAGGCCATTATAAATTAATATGTACAATTCAGGCAGTATATTTTAAAGTTGTCTTGTTGAAAGCTAAATGAATTCCACAACAATTTCATGTGGAATTCAGCAGTCCTAAATTTGTGACGATCTTCCTCCCTAGGAGAGCACAAGAACCTCTGATTCAGACAAAGGAATAAATCACCCCATAGCCAAGTTTAAAGCTCTTAAGAGAATAAAGAATCTTCTTTATTCAGACTTTGATACTCTTAAATGCCAGCACTTTAACTCAGAGTGAGAATCCACTTTCTGTAGTTTTCATGCAGCAAGTGTGCCCTTTTAAAAAGCAGAAGTACTCTTATATAATAATATAGTATTATATTCTGTAAAGACAAAAGAGATTATCAGTGACAAAAATAAACTAGCAGCCAGCACAGTGCTAGCCCCTCATTAAGTAATTCATTAAATGAAAACATCTAAAAATCACGATAATGCAAACAAGGATTAATCACAAACACCATACTGTAGAAGAATATCTGTGAATAGCTGGCGTACTTAGGAAGCCACAAGCCTAAATATATTGTGTAATTACAAAAGACAGGTTTCTCCACAGTGTAATTTGGAACTTATCTCCTTTTAGTAAGCCAATTGTTGAAGGTTTAAGGAAACTGCAAACAATTCCCCAGCTAGCAATGACATACAGGAAAATCAAACGTATACCTTCCACTATGAACAGATGTGTTGAAATGGGTCAAGACATTCTTACCTGATCTAAATACTGAGGGAGGAGCTTAGCCAAGATCTTGGCTGTATTTTCACTTAGTTCAGAAGGCTTGATAATCACAGCATTTCCTAAACAAAATAAAAAATCAGAACAGTAATATCAAATACTTTAGTCATTTTAATGGCTACCAAAATGATATTCATGTACAGGTGAGATATTCCAATTATTTTTGCAGTGTTTTAAGTCTGGTCTTCATCAAGGAACATCAGAGCTTGTCTTACTTTCTCTTCCTTTTTATTTTCTCCTTCTTTATTGCTAACCCCTTAATTCATACATCTCCAGCCTTTCCCACTCCTCCAGCTATCATGTTTTTCTCCTAATTCTGCTCTTGGATTCTACTCTGTACCCTAGAATTAATGAGCAAATAGACTATGTCAACATAAAGCTGACAATCTGGATTCTCCACAGTAAGAAATCAATCTCTTGGCACTTGGTATACACCCAAGCTGGTATTACTCCCAGATCCTTTATCAGTATGAAGAAAACTGGTCAGACAGAATCAAATGGTACAACCAAGGCCAGAGCCAGCAATTGAAACTACATTAAATATGGATGCCTTACCCCAAATCCCTGCATCTATTGACTCAGATGCCTTTCAGTCTCACAGGTTCATTCCCCAGTTACTTCAAAACAACATTCATTCAAATCTTGTCAGCAGCTCATTTAAAAGTATATATTTATGAATTCTTGATACACTTCTGGTATAAACCAAAGCAAACCACCAACGAAAATGTACTTAATTAGCCACAATCCTTACTTTATAACCAATGTGAGAGAATAATCCCCTCTAAAAAGGTATAAAGACATAAGCTGACACCAGACCTGCAGCAATGGCTCCCACCAGTGGTTGCATAGTGAGTACAAAGGGGTAGTTCCAAGCTCCAATAATCAGTATGACTCCCAGAGGCTCTGGTTGAACATAGGCCTCATCCATCATAGTGAGCAGGTTCTTCTTAACTGGTTTAGCAGTAACCCATTCATGAAGATTCCCCAGCATAAGATCTATTTCCCCAAGGACAGTAATGACTTCTTGATTGTATGAATTGAATTCACTCTGTTAGAAGAGAATCGAAGTTAACTTCCAGTTAACAAAATGAGTAGGATAGACTTGTACATGAATGTCAAAAGCTGCAGGCCAGGTACATCTGTAGTAACAAATAAATGGGTTACCATACTAGCTGGTTTGCCATCCAACTCCTCTATTAGAATTTATTAACTCCCTATGCAATATATGCAATGCTTTTAAAACCTCCTTTTACTAATCTAAGTCCTTTAAAACTCAATTTAAACATTTATCTCTCTCAAGGAGACCTCCCTGATTAATTATGCCCTGCCTTGATCACATTTTAACTAACATAGCAGTTATGCTTTTGACCTGTATCCTAATATTTCACCTTTAACACTCTGGTTTATAACTATACTCATATTTTATCTGTATGCTGTGTTTCCCAACTAAGTTTAAAGCTCTTAAGAGATGGGAACTTACTGTATTTCTTCAGTAATTATGTATTTACCACACACTGAAAAAAAAAAATTTGGAGCTTATAGAATGAATAAATGATTTACAGCAGTTCTGAATCTTAATTACTCCACTTTGTTTACTTAATATCACAGTGCCTCTCCACCATAAGTACTCCAAAGGAAATTCCATAGCTACTACTGTTACTACTCCTTGAAATAGTCTTTGACTGAGGAAGGAAGAATCAAACCCAGGGGAAGGCCTTGCTATCCCTGGAATGTACATAAAAAGCAAAAACAAGAGGAAAGCAATATTAGAAAATACAGAAATATTAGAAAAAAATACAGCAATAGAAAATTAGAAAAAATTATACCCTAAATACTACTTAAAACTTTGCTACTCAAAATGTGCTTCCAAAAAAGGCAGTATAGTCTCACAGGAGACCTCGTTGGAAACTTTCAATCTCAAGTCTTCATCACAGACCTATTGAACCATAATTTGTGTTTAAGATCCCCAGGTGAGACAGTCAGTGCAGAATTTGAGAAGCAAAGACCTAATAATACACAAAGCAATGAAGAAAAATCTGAGTGCAAAAATAATAACCCCCAAACCACTGTCTACAGAAGAAACTAAAAACGAAGTCAAGAATAGACCTGGAGCAAAATATCTGCTATAAGTCAGGCTGATAAACTTTTGACGTCCAGAATATACAAAAAGCTCCTACAAATCATAAGGAAAAGGACCGTAAGTGCAACAGAAATATGAGCAAGAATATAAAAGGAAATTCTCAGAAGAGGAACTACAGACTTCAGGAAACGCATGCACTTCCAGGGTCTCTGCTGATACAGTTAGGGCTGGATCTAAGCAAGACTGGAGGATAAGGAGAATCGGAAAGTCGACAGGAATTTTGCTTTGTTTGTATTGCTGGGAAGAATACTCCAACAGTGCTTGCATAACCAGAAATAAAGGGAAAAGCAAAAGTTCGGGCGGAAATTGGCCCCGGAGTAAGGCTTCACGAGATTAGCATCCCCGCCCCTCCTTCCGCGTACTTACCTTGCACAGGTCGGCGGCGATGGCAGACAGGATGTCCTTCTCGCGCTCCTGCACCATCCTTCGCAGGGCCTCAAGCTGCTGCAGCCGGAACCGCAGGGATCGCGACCGGCCGGACCGGAAAGCTTGTCGAAGCTGCCGGACTTGGCTCTCCATGGCCTGGTCCTGAAGAAAAAAAGGCAAGCTCCCGGGGCGCTGGGGCGTGGCGAACGGGATGGAAGCTGTGCTTGCAGGCGCTGTCCCCCCTCTCAGATATTCTCTCCTCCTTTCGGTTGGACTCCCACCGCTAAACCCAGGCCGCCCCTCACTTGTCCCACTAAATGCTACTTCCCTGGCGGCCTCAGCGCCGGCCACGTACAACTGCCCAACAGAAGCGCCGCAAGGCTAAGCTCAACCCCGAGCCGCGTGCCTATTGGTCCTGGCGGCCCACGTGACCGCGCGGCCCCGCCCGCTCCCTCCTCCCTGACCGCGAGCGGAGGTGGCTGGGCTTTGGGTGCAGAGGTGAGTGAAGAGGTTGCGGGGGCTGGGGAAGGGAACCCCTGGATGGTTCCCAAAAAAAGGGAAGAGTAGTCCTGGAGAAGTGAGCTGAGTCGCAGAGGGGCAAGCAGCTGCGGAGAGCCAGACATCGTGCAGGAAGTACCCAGCCGCCTAGAGAATGCAGCCCACACACCGAGACGCCCTGGAAAGCGGGTTTCCTTCCTCCTCTGTTCTGTGGCTCTTCAGATGTGGCTGAATACACAGAGTCGGGGGGCCTGGGGGTGCCGAACGCGCTGGGCCTAGGTGGGCAGGGTCTCGCCTCTGGGTGGGAGAGTGGGCCCCAGAGCAGGCCCCAGAGCAGCGCCCAGCGCCGCCTCAGCCACAAACCACCAGCCACCGAGGCCACCAAGGGGAGGAAGGACCCACCTTTTTTCCTCCAGCTGCCCCCACCCCCCCAGCACCCCCTCAGTACCCCCCCCACCACCGCGAGCCTGCCTTTCGCGAATTAGCTGCCACAATTTAGCATTGCAGGTGGAGCTCAGAAATTCTCTCGAGGGCGGGAAATCAGGTCTTAATCTCCTGGAATGCTAGCCCAGGGATAATTTCCAGAAATATAATTAATGAGCAACCGTTTTTTGTTTTTTTTTGTTTTTTTTTTTTTTTTGGTTTTAGGGCTTTGCGGGTGGCGGGGAAGCCCTGGGGATGGAACTCAGGGCTTCAAGCATGCTAGGCCAGCCCTCTGAGCCACATCCCCCACCTCCCTCCCTCCCTCCCTCAGCTGCAAATCATCCCGGTTTTCATCTCAACTCCTCCTAATAGAGGGAACCCACACTATTCAAGTTTTCTTTCCCACTTCCTTTTTGCAGATTTAGTAGGAGAGCTTAGTTCTCATTCTTGTTCTATTCAGCAACATTTGGCACAGTTGGTCATTCTCATTTCTAGAAACAGTGCCCCCGCTACCCCGCCCACTTTCCCTGCACTCTTTTGGGTTTTGTTTTAGCCCACTGGAGTCCTCTGGGTTTTCTTTGCTGTATCTTTCGCCCCTTTCTGTTCTCTTTAAGTGTTCC